GGACTCCTCCATATAGTAGCCGTTTGAACTATCCAGTATTTTATATGTTTAGCTCTACCGCATTATATTTCTTTCATATCATTAGATAAGAGGTATAGAAGTGTGCCCTTGCTGTAGTCCTTCTGCCTCTTTTGCTGTGTAATAGAAATGCTTATAGAGTTTTAAAACACTGATGCTGTGGTCTTGTTTGGGTTATGAGACTATTTTGGAGAAATAGTCTCATAAAAGACCCCTGTAACCAGATATATTTGGTCCTTGTAGAGCTCCTGGCTTTTACAGGTCATATTAACCCCTCCTTCTTTATTATGATTCTCTGCACTCTGCCAAAAGTTTGGTTATGAGTCTTAGTATATGCTTTTATACACTGCTAGGTAGAGTCTTTTAGAGGCCCTCAGTGGTAGGCTCCTGTCCTGTTACTTGTGTTCTCATTTGTCTTTCTAAGTGAGGGTTGATCATCTTACCCAGGGTCTTCTTTCTTGTTTATCTTCTTTAGGTGTATAGATTTCAGTATGTTTATCCTATCTTATAGGTCTAGTACCTACTCATAAGTGAGTATATACCATGTGTGTCTTTCTGCTTTTGGGATACCTCACTCAGGATGATCTTTTCTAGATCCCACCATTTGCCTGCAAATTTCATGATTTCCTTGTTTTTAATTGCTGAATAGTATTCCATTGTGTAAAAGTACCACAATTTCTGTATCCATTCCTCAACTAAGGGCATTTGTTTCCGGGTTCTGGCTATTACGAATAACACTACTACAAACATGGTTGAGCAAATGTCCTTGTTGTGTACTTGAGCATCTTTTGGATATATGCCTAGGAGTGGTATAGCTAGATCTTGTGGAAGTGCTATTCCTAATTGGAAAAGACTGTTTTTGTTTTGTTTTTGCCACCATTCATTGAGATTTTATATTTTATACTTTATGATTAGGGTTAGTCTTTATGTGACCCAGGCTGCTTTGGACCTTGTGACTCTTCTACATCAGCCTTCTGAGCACTGGAGTTTCAGGCATTTTCTTTCCCCATCTGCCTTCAACAATGGTTTTTATCAACTCAGCATCAGTAAAAGCTGGTTCTTTGCCTTTCTTTAAAAGTTGTAGACAAAACTGTTTATTTTGAAGTAAACATTAATAGGTGGAGTTGTTGTTCTTAACAAGGCTTTTAAGTTGATGAATTTATTAAGGCACATTTCCTGAAATATTTTACAGCTGGAAATGTATTCCTTTGATAAAGCATATGGCAAATTATATTGCAGCTTTGTTCTGTGTTCCTACAATGGAGATGGTATTTCCTTTAAGTCTTTTGTACTTTTTCTAAATAAAGATTTCTGTGGCAAGTCATGATTTCAGTTTTACTTTTAAGCTTTTCTGAAGTATTTTAAATGATTGCCTTTGCTTTTCCTTTAATTAGTATATGTACCCTAACACAAGGTAGCTTTCAGGTTTTTGTCTGTTGATTTTAACACCTGTGTCATTCCTAGTTTTGTTTTAATTAACTCTTTTCATCTCATTATTATCTAACTTGCAATCTTTAATGACCCTATCACCGTGTGTTTATGAGTGTGTGTTTGTAGATTAAGTTGGGTGTCAATCTCTGTAGGTCTCCACCTTACTTATCCATTTATTTGTTTGTTTGTTTTATTTCATGTATGTGGATGTTTTGTCTTCATATACATCTGTATACCATGGATGTACAGTATCCAGGGGATCCAGAAAAGGGAGTCAGATCTCATGGGTTTTAAATTACAAATGAGATAGTTGTGAGCTTTCATGTGCTGGGAATCGAACCCAGCTATCTCAAGAGTAGCAAGTGTTCTTAACTGTCTCGCTAGTACCTATTTATTTCTTGAGCTAGGTCTGGTTTCCGTTGTTTCAGATAGGTTGGCTGGCCAGTAAGCCCTCTAGATCTGTTGTCTGCAACACCTGCTACCATCCCTCCTCCCAAAGAATGTCTTTTATTGAGTTCTAGTGATATGAACTCTGTTCATTGTGTTCACAGAGCAGTCATTTTATTTGCTGAGCCATTATCCCCAGCCCTGATGATGGTTAATTATTCATTCATTCATTCATTCATTCATTCATTCATTCATTCATTTATTTATTTATTGAGTTCTTTGTCCCTGGCTATCCTGGACTCACTTTGTAGACCAGGCTGGTCTTGAGCTCACAGCCATCTGCCTATGAAGTGTTGGGAGCAATGGTGTGCACTATCACACCTGGCTACAACTAAATTTTTTACTTTCACATTGTTGGGAAGATACATTTTTATTCTTATAAATGCCCTTCTGTTTTGTTCTGGGAAGTGGTTGACTTAGTTGGAAAAAGTTTAGTCGTCTTAAAATCTTGATTTTTTTAATTTATTGGGCAATCCATGAATAGTACCTTATGCTATGTTGAATTGTCTCCCTTTGAGGTACTCCCCATTGACATACTCTCCCATTGATGAATCATGAGACATTTCAGTCTAGCTCTGTGAGAGAGAAAACTAGGTACTTTGTGATGTGATACTTTGGAGACTGCTTCCTGGCCTTTAGAATCTGCTGCCAAGCATGCATTAGGAACTGTTGAGTATAGTACTTGAGAGGATCCTAGTAGTTTTGCGGCAATCTTGAACCCTGCCTGCTTTACTTTTCCGGCACTCTCAAGTTACTTTTGGTATCTTCTAGTGTGTGGGCTAGGACTGAAGCTGTCAAGTTGGGCAGGTGCAGCCTGGTCCCTGCCCTCTCACATTGTCATTTCTTTTCTTTAGGGCCTAATTTCTAGTAGCTTGGAATTTGTTGTTTCATGCACTTTGATTGTTTCAGATAAAGTGAAAAGTTAGTCTTGTTCCTGCTTCATTGTCTTGGCTAGAAATTAAAGTTCCTTATACATATGCATTTAGACATACAGGCACACTTTTAGTTCACCAGGTAATACTGATAATTCTTCCATGTCTACCAGAGGAATCTATAAAAAAACAAAAAACACATATTTTGGTGAGAAATACAAGAGTACTTTAACATTAAAGTACAGATTTAAAATTGTTTATTATCATAAAAGTATGTGTGTTTTGTATTCTTTGCCATGTAAATGACCCCAGGGTTCCCAGTTTCTTGATTTATTGACTCTTTATCCTCAAAGCTCTTCATGATGGACCTTAGGTAAAAAGAAATAGCTCATACCTTCATTTATTAAATACTAACAAGTAACTGAGTTGGGATGTGTGTGTGTATAGCCTATAAAACTGAAACTATTTTAAATAGCTACATTAATATTTGTTATTTGTCTTTTTTTGGGTTCTCTTCAGATTCACTGAAGATACATTGCCACTATTTTATTCCGCATTTATAATGGCATGGAATTTGCTTTTTAATACAGTAACCTGCAAAAACCCAGCTCTGCCACAATGTGTTATTAAAAGCAATGTGGTGTGATCGAATACTGAAACAGATAGGTTTTGGGCTACTAGTTTGTATACTGTTTGATTTTTGCTGTTTGTCCTTGAGATCTAGTTAGCTCATTATGACTTTAAGTCCACTGTTAGAAGCATATGTCTTGACTATGTAAGTGCATTTTCCAACTAACGTTACTAACTGATAAAATAGAATCCTGTGCTTGGTAGATCTTATTTCTGTCTTCATTGTTTACCCTCAATGTGAAAAATAATAGGCAACCCTCTTTTATTATAACAGTTTACTTCCTTTGATTATAATTGGCACAGTAACAGACTAATGGCCTTTACAAGAAAAGTCTAACAATGGCTACTTTTATTGTTTACCTCTGATTTGTTTTAAGTTTGTGTACTAGTTATATTTATACTTAGATTCTTAAATTTCTTTTCATGTTTAAAGCTTTGAACACTGTTAAGTTGTCTAATTGTGCATGTGGTCATGCGCCCTTATAAGTAGTTTGATAAGGCTTTCGGCATGTACATGTATTCTTTGCTTGGTAGCCAGAAGTCATCAAAGAAGTGAGACATGGATAATTCTTTATAAAACATGTATTTAGTACTTAATACAATGAAAGACTAGACTTTATAGCTCATTTTTATTTTATTTGAATGTTTTATGTATACACCCTATATATATGTGTATGTATATAATATTATGTATATATGTGTGTATATATGTAGCATATATTATATACAATATAATAAAGTATCTAGCCCTCTAGATTCCCCTCCAGTTCCCTGATACCTTCTCTCACATTGACCCAAAATTTCATGTCCATCTTTTTTATTTATTTCAGTTTTTTAAAATCAAGTTTATTTAGTGCTGCCCATTGTGCATGGTATATAGCGCTGGAACAAGGGCAACAGCGTTGGCCACACCCCAAAGAAGAATGATTCTTCCTTGCCTAACAGCTCTCAACTGTGTAGTTCACTTTTAAAAACGAAGGCCAATGGACATATAGTTAAACTAATATCTAATCATTTGCTGTGGTTTATTATTTCCATAATTACTACCTGAAATACAGCAGCTAGTACTTCTTTGACATGATGAGATCTATTTTCAAAATAGTTTCTTTCCTAGAATATTTTTTTGACTAGTAACCAGTGTTATTCAAAGCTATTGTAATGACTATATAGTGAAAATTGGAAAATGAAGGTTTTAGTCATCTCCTTAGTTGTTAGCTTCTTTACTATGATATTGATACTTGTTTAACCTTGATAACTTTTTTTACGTATGATATTGAAGTAACATGCTTCTCAGAGTTACTCATTATAATTTGAAAATGGCACTTTATGTTTCCTATAGGAGCAATAATACCTTTGTGGTTGTCTTGGTCATTTATATCCTCAGCTAAATGCACAGTAGGTGCAACATTAATGTTGACTTCTCATTTGACCAACTAGTCACATTACCAGGCTTTGATTTGGGTTTGAAAAATAATTGAAGAGCTTTGTAATATCATCATAACAAAATAATAGAAACATGGCTTTAAGTAACTGGCAATGGGCTCATGCTTCACAAGGTGTATTCTGTCGTATTAGTAATGTTGTGTTTTGTAAACTTTTTAGGAGGAGCAAAATAGAGGCAAGCCCAATTGGGAGCATCTAAATGAAGATTTACATGTACTAATCACTGTGGAAGATGCTCAGAACAGAGCAGAAATCAAGCTGAAGAGGGCAGTTGAAGAAGTGAAGAAGTTACTGGTACCTGCAGTAAGTAATTTTCATCTTTTTTATTTCATTACATTTTCCTTTTGAGATTGATATGATTATAACATATGATTATAACATAACATTGTTATGTTAATAAGGAGTGGGTTGTTATTTTTTTAGTGATTTTTTTTTTATTTAACCACAAATATAAAAGTAATGTATGGCTCATTAAATTTATAGTGTAAAAGACAGGATTGCTCAAATTCTTAACTGAGAATCCCTGCTTACTTTTGTGAAGGAAATGGTGTAGTGGAGAAACAAACCTAATTAACTTACTTAAAAGTCACAGCTGACTTTTAAATTGCTCTGTTATAGGAGAATGTAGACTCAGAATCAGTAGGGTGCTAAATGTTTGTTTTTCTTAAAAAGTTAAGTATGCTAGACATGGTGGCACATGGATATAATCCTCAGCACTCAAGAGATATAGGCAAGTGAATCTCCTGTGAGTTTGAGGCCAGCTTTGTTTACATAGTGAGTTCCAGGACAGTCAGGTCTATGTGGAGAGACCCTGTTTTAAAAGACCAAATAAGCAAAAATAAAATTAAAAAAATTAGGTAATAGTAATTCAGAGGTCTTTGGAACTATTACTGTATTGGGAAAGTAGAGTTTGCCTATATGCTAGATTCTCTTCTGACATATTTTCTTCTGTAGAAAAATTAATGTTGCATAGTAAAACTTTCATATTGCATAGTAAAAACTGTTTTCTTACTGAAAGCTCAGTTTTACTGATTTAATTGGCACCATTCCAAATGCTTTTCACACTTAAAAGCTAACAAACACTGTTAAAAGGCTGTATTTAGGTATGTTAAATAAGACATTAAATATAAAGTTTGAGACTGGCATCTCATGAAAAATTATCTAGGTGTCTTTCTTCTTGTGTCACCTCTCTCCATTCTTTTTTCCCATTTTGTTCCCTCAGCTTTTCACTTTTTTATGTTGCTGTGTAATATCACAGTACTGTCTTTTTTAGATGGAAAATAAAAAGAAAAATGATTTTAAGTGGATTACTAAGCTGTCTTTCTCATGTTAATAACTTGGAAATATTTCAGTTGGCTGCTCTTAAAGAATCTAGGAAAATTTATTGTTAGTGTGCTGTCAACAGAGCCATTTTGTTGCTTACATAAATGAGTTTTGTGATCTGCCATTTTTTTCTATTCCAGTAATCTGTTCTTCATTGTTCTCATAGTCCACTTTCTAAGTAAACTTATAAATCATAAACATTTTCTCATTCACATGACAAAAACTGATTCCTTGCAAGGAAAGATTTCATATGAATTCTGTTGATAGATATATAAGGAACATGAACAAGCAGATTGTTTGTAAAAACATGTCTTCTTCCTTTTCCTTGGTAATTGTTTAGTCTTGGAAAGTAGTGAAAAGGAGACTTTTTGTGAATATTTTGTTCTTAGTTTCATAGATAGGAATATATTGGAATGCTATGTCTCCAACAATGCAGAGATCACGTTACACTGAGCACAGGCGTTTACAAATGTTGCAAAAGGAAGATTGTCTAATAGTTTATACTTCTATTTATCCATCAGGTTTTTCTAGGCATTCTTTCTATAATTTACTTTTTATTTTAAAAGATAATCTCTAGAAAAAGAACATTGATTTGGAAGCTAAATCTAAAGCATTTTGACCTCCGTTTCTTTACGGGGACATGGGGAGAAACTAGTGGTGAGATAAGACCTTAGACTTAGCATCCATTCTTTCATTTGTAGAATTTCTTGCTGGTCAATGAACCTGACTTGAGTTTGATCAAGTTTCAGCATTGGGAGGAGAAAGCCAATTTCCGAAAGTAGTCCTCTGATTTTCACATGAGAACTGTGGCATGTGCCACACTCTTTCATTCCCCACACACATAATTAATTAGGTAATACAAATGGTTTGTCTCTGGAATGTAAAAAGGTGGTAGCAAATAAATGACAGAAGCTTTAAGAAAGTGCATACTGTGTATCATGTGGGAAAATAGCCAGTTTTGATAGTTCTCTCTCCTAATGAAGGCTTTTAGGATTATTGTTGTTACTATTAATAGGTAACTTATTTTAAATTGTGCTATTTAGAATTATACAGATGAAGCAAAACTTTAGAATTACAAGCTGTAGAATAAAAACACATACTTTTAAAGCATGGGTTAGATCCCTGATTTAACACTGCATAATAATTTCATTTTCTGGCTTAATGTCTTTATTAAAATGTGGACATTGTATTAGAGAATTTATTTTAATTAAACTGAAAGTTTTTGTGTATTTTTGCTGCCTGTATGAAGATTAATAGACTTTAAACAAAACAGCTTGACTGACAGTATTTTAAATTTTCTCCATAATTGGCCAGTTCTGTGATACTTGCCTGTGTAAGCTTAGCCAAGAAGAAAATGGTGTTCAAACTGAACTTGTGTTTCACTAGTATGAAATAAAATTAATCATTTCATTTGTACTTCAAAAAAAGTCAGCACAAAAAAGTTATCAGGTGTAACATTTGACTGCTATGTAACAAAACATTGCAAGCATTTTGCTGGATGTCATGTCTACTGAGTGTCATGCAACTGAATATTGCCCATCACAGTGCCTTTCTTTATACTGGCTCTGGAAGTCTTATATATGAAGTTCCTAGTCACTAGTAACCTGTCTTCATTTTGAATCAGATCCTTTTCACATTCTGAAAGGGAAGAAACAATGAAGGAAAGGAAAGGCTTGATCTTAGTACCTATTAGTCTAGTCATTCTTTGGCTTTTTTGAGAAGTCTTCTGTAGTTAGTTCAGGCTATCCTTAAACTCCTTATCCACCTACTTCCTCCACCTAGCTGCTAGGATAATAGGCATGTGCCAACACAGCCTTCTCATTTCTTTGATTTTTCAATTAGCATGTTTCCATTGCTCTACTGCTTGGTGAGAAGAATTATCTGGCAGTTGATAATTACCATTCTTCTGTCAGTCAGCAGGTAGGAACGTTTTGCGTTATAAGACCTGACTTTAGATAGTTTTTCTTCTGATCTTTTGAAGATAAACTATTTCTGTTTGGAAAAAAAAAATCATCTAACATTTGCATTTTTATTATTAATCTTTATTATTAATAATCATACATACTTGTAATATAAATGAGATTTGAAAACTTGTCACTTCAAAATTATTTTTGGTATTGAAAATAGTTGTTTTTGGTTTTTTTGTTGTTGTTGTTGGTTTGTTTGTTTTTTTAAGAATATATGATCACGGTGTTCCCTCCACCAACTCCTTCTAGAGCCTCCCCACATCTCCACCCACCTAAATCCATAGTCTTCCTTTCTCTCAATAGAAAACAATCAGACATCTATTTTAAAAATAAGATAAAAACTAACCAGAAGAAGAAAAGAGCCAAAGCACGAGAAACACATTCAGGCACAGAGACACACATAGAAAATTGAAATTCCATAAAAACATAAAGGCAGAAACCATAGTATACAAGCAAGATCTATGAAGTGGAAAAAAAGAAAAAAATAGGCCAGTCAAAACATTATGAGACGGGGAAAAAAAAAAAATCCAAAAGCATCATTAAGTTGAAGGTTGTCTACTGCTGGGCATGCAGCCTGCCTTTAAGTGTGGGCTTTGTATACCCAGTGAGACTCCATTGGAAAAAACTAATATTTTCTTTTCAAGTCATTATCAATTGTAAATAGCTTTTGAGTTTTGGATGGAGCCTGTGTCTACTCCTCAGCACTGGCTTACACCTGTGCAGGCCCTGTGCATGATGCCACAGTCTCTGAATCATGTTGAATGAGTTGCTATAGGCATTGCCTTCATGAATAGGACCTATTTGTCAGTTTATGAAGAGCAAACAATGAATAGCTTTGGCAATATTCTCATTGTTTGGGGGTTTCCATGGGGCTCTTTTGGCCAAGAATTTAATTAGATGTGATCCATTCCTGAGACTGGCTATTTTATTTGATGGTGAGAGATGTCTAGTTGGGCCTTTGTCTTTCCCAATATTTGGTGATTCCGTTTAGATTTCTTTCATATGTGTGTATTTTATGAAGCTTCTAATGTAGTAGGTTTCCATATGATTCCACAAATGAAACCCTTAGTTTTAGCTATCATATTTCTTCTCTTATCCCCCCTATCCTCTCTTTGTGTCACCTTAAATTTTTTTTTAGTTCTTTTGTGTTGGAATTCTTCCAGCTGTTTAGAAACAGTAAGTTGTTACAAACTACAGTTACTCTGCTGTGTTACAAAGCTCTAAAGGTTAGTAATCCTCTTTTTGTAATTGTAAACCTCTTAAATAATCTGTCTTCCGCCTTACTCTTCTGTCTCTGTATTCACTATACTACTTTCTGAGTCTGTGAGACCAACTGTTTTAAGCTTCTTCATGTGAGTTATAGCCAGTACAGCTTTTGTTTATATTAACTGTATTTGTTGAAAAGAAAATTCATAAACGTGGCTAAAATTAGTCACACTTCACTACTTATTTTCTAAGTGTATATTTTAGAAGCTAAAATAATTTTTCTAGTGTGACATTATACTACTAGCAGTTTTCTATGTCATTAAAGAGTCATTAATAGTGATATTCATGGTTTCCTCTGGTGACATGCTTTAAAGTCCATTATATGTATGGCTGTGCTATTATCAGTCATTCTTTATTAAGCATTTAAGATTTTTTTCTCATTTCTTGCTTATTAATAGTGTTAGAGATAATATTCTGTAGGGAAATATTAAGCTGCCTGTCTAAATATTTTGGGATGTTTTCAGAACTAAAATAATCATGATTAAATGTGTACATTTACTATGCATAGATTTATAAAAACTCTACATTGAATGTTTACTTTGCTTTTGTGTATGTACATTATATAGCTTGATAATCTCCCTTAAATTTTGCTCTGAGGGTCTGAGAATATGGCCTAATGTTTGCCAAATATGTACAGGCCCTGGATTTAGTCTCCCTTAGGAGACTAAATAATCCAATAAGCAGACTTACTGATTTCATAGTAATTAGTGTTTTATTTTAAAATGATATTTAATTGCCGAATTGGGA